AGAGAGAGAGAGAGAGAGAGAGAGAGAGAGAGAGAGAGAGAGAGAGAGAGAGAGAGAGTGCGTGTGTGTGCATGTGTGTGTGTGTGTTCGAAAATGATCTCACGGTGCATCCGCCATGCTACTCCACTCTTTCAGTGGTACACCAGGTCCACCCATAGCCCATCACATGCCGTTTTAACTGCCACCCTTCCATACTACCTTGCCAGCTCAAAATGACAGGCCACACACAAACAAACTAAACAGGCAAACCACTGCTGCCACTTTACTTCTCTGAAGCTACCTCATACATCTGTGGCTAACCACAACCAGTTTTCCAAGTCCCACGTAGGATGGAGGGCACAGGAGAGGCGGGAGGGCAGATGACACACAACGACATCAAGCAGGCAATGAAAAGGCATGACGCAATAAGGCATGGGATGACAAGCAACAGCGAAGGACAAAGGCTGGAGGGCACAGGGGAGGTGGAAGGGAAGACAACACACAAGCACACCAAGCAGGCGGGAGGGAAGACAACATGCAAGCACACGAAACAGGCAAACAGGAAAAAATACAAGTCCCAAAAAAACGAGAAGACCGAAAAAAATAGAAACTGATGATAACAAGATTGTTTCGTCGGAGTGGCACCGACTCATCAGGAGGCTGAACCCTCGACAATCTGCAGAATCCCCATATTTGATGGTTTGGCTCATGAACCTTGTTGTGTCCCCAAGCAGAACATAGCGGCGGGCAGCAACCCTGTGGAGCACCAAACAACACAGTAGAGGCAACACGGCTGCACAACGCCAAAAACGACTGCAAGGAACGTCATGGCACGCAGGGCATGCAGTGTGGCAACCGTGTAGTGAAGCACATGACAACACAAGCAAGGCAACAGCACCGCAGGGGACGACAGGGCGAGCGGGACCAGCAGCTTGGCAACCGTGGAGCGGAGCAGAAGTCACCAGCAACAAGGCGGCCAACCTACAAGGCACACAAGCGGCAAACATGGAAGGCACAACCAGCGGATGAGCAGCATGGCAGCGGAGCAGCGAAGCGCAAGGCAACACCAACAACACGGCCACACCACACAGCGAACACATCAACCTGCGAAGAACCACATGCGAAGCAAGCTGGACAAGCAGCAGGGCAACGACAGAGCGCAGACGAGGACGTCCACACATCCAACACAGAACAAAGTGGCACATGACCTACTCACATCACGAGTTAACCCTGCAGACTGTTGGTTCCCACCACCCACTGAGCCAGGGAGACACTCCGACGACCATCCGTCATCACCGACAGGCAACACAGACATCCCGCACCGAGCGGCCCCCCGAAGAGTGCAGTAGGCACTCCAAACGAGCGGCCCCCCGAAGAGTGCTAGAGGGTGCTCGGCTAGAGACACAAAAAGTACTTCAAACAAATAGGACAAAGACGAAAAACAAACATACCTAAAACTGATTGTGTGTGTGTGTGTGTGTGTGTGTGTGTGTGTGTGTGTGTGTGTGTGTGTGTG